CATTGACAGAAGAAGTGGAAGGTCTAAAGGTAATATACTAGGAGTAGCTACTACCTACTGGTCTCAATTTAAATCACTCGTGGCCAAATTGTGAAGATAACTATTGTTCATTAACAGTTTTGAAATCGAGTCTTAGTCTATGTTACAAATGACTGTATTAAGCATCAGTATTCATTTGTATTACAACAGGCTAATCTTGAACAAGAGAAACAAAGAGCCGATGACGCGGTAAGAAAATTCGATGAATCTCAAGAGTCTAATGAAGACAGAAAGAAAAAGTTGGAAGAATCAGAGAAAAAAGTTCAGCTTCTACAAGAATCTGTGACAAGGTAAGACTATATCAAGAAAGTTGTAATGATTATATATGTATACACATGATTCTGCTGCACTGAAAGTTGTAATCAATATGGTCAGGTTGGAGGAAAAATGCAACAATTTAGAATCAGAGAATAAAGTTTTACGACAACAAGCTGTGTCCATTGCACCAAATAAGTTTCTCTCTGGCCGGTCCAGGTCGATTTTACAGGTAAGGATAGTTTATAACCTATAAATGAAATTATAGGTTTCCATATTTTTTTTTTTCTGTCTGAACTCTGAAGGTAATGACTTGATAAAAATAAAACAGAGAGGTTCGGAGAGCGGTCACCTATCAGTCGATGCGAGGCCAAGTCTGGTTAGTACTTAGTACATCTCGATCAAGATCGTCTTGGATGTGGGATCAATTGTCTCATTCTTCAGTTTGGGTATTATTTTATTTGAATCAGGATCTGCATAGTCATTCAATTAACCATAGGGATCACTCTGAAGTGGATGATAAGCCACAGAAATCATTAAACGAGAAGCAACAAGAAAACCAAGAGCTGCTTATCCGCTGCATCGTTCAACATTTGGGTTTCCAGGGGAAGCGACCCATCACAGCATGTATCATATACAAATGCTTATTGCAATGGCGGTCATTCGAAGTCGAAAGAACTAGTGTATTTGATCGGATTATTCAGACAATAGGACATGCTATTGAGGTTCGTTTTGGAGCTACCTTACTATTTTAGGAATCAGTGATTGCAAGTGTGTTTGTAAAAGATTCCTTTTTTTTTTCCTTTGTTTCAGACGCAAGATAACAACGATTTACTAGCATATTGGTTATCCAATGCCTCGACGTTGCTTTTACTACTCCAACGTACGCTTAAAGCAAGTGGTGCAGCAGGGATGGCTCCACAACGTCGTCGCTCATCTTCTGCCACTCTCTTTGGGAGGATGACTCAGGTGTGTTTGGCATACTAAGAACTACTACCTCCGTTTCATTATAACCGTCGTTTTAGAGATTTCACACGCATTAAATAAAAATTTGAACTTAACTTTTATCATACCTTCAGTTACTTTTATCATACCTTCAGTTAATACACTAATAAAGATCCTGTTTCTATTTAATAAGCTAATATAAAATGGATAAATGGAGTTTTGTTTTGAAGTATGCATTAACGACACCTTTTATGAAACAATAACATAAAATATGAGGAAACAGAGTCATCATTTCGAATGTATCTTAAATTGTCAATGTCAACCTTTATCTAGAGTTTTCGTGGGGCACCACAAGGTGTGAATCTTAGCATGATAAACGGTGGAGTGGATACCTTAAGGCAAGTCGAGGCGAAATACCCAGCTCTACTCTTCAAGCAGCAACTAACAGCTTATGTTGAAAAGATATACGGAATGATTCGAGATAACTTGAAGAAAGAGATTTCTCCTCTCCTCGGATTATGTATTCAGGTATATATATATATATATATATATATATATATATATATATATACATCGGTTACATGTACAAGCAACCGTGCGTGCATTCGTCACTGAAATTTAAAAATCTTACCTGTGTTGCTATAGGCACCAAGAACATCAAGGGCGAGTTTAGTGAAAGGAGCATCTCGTTCTGTTGGCAATTCTGCAGCTCAGCAAGCATTGATCGCGCATTGGCAAGGAATTGTAAAGAGTCTTACAAACTTCCTTAATACTCTGAAGTCGAACCACGTGAGTCCCGAATTTAGTCGTATGAGAGATTCCATGAGTATCAAAATTACTTCTATTTGACCATTGCGAACTCTTTTCTTATAGGTTCCTCCATTCTTGGTCCGGAAGGTGTTTACGCAGATATTCTCGTTCATCAATGTTCAACTATTTAACAGGTTCTTACCATCTTATTCCCATTTGATGTTTTTTCTCTCAAACATTGTCTTTTTTGTGTGTGTTAATAACGCATTTTCATATCGTCCTTACAGCCTTTTGTTAAGACGGGAATGTTGCTCGTTTAGCAATGGGGAATACGTGAAAGCAGGATTGGCTGAATTGGAGCACTGGTGTTACAAGGCAACAGATGAGGTAACCTTTATATATATAACTACACGATGATATTTTCACGCTCATAAACTAACTTGCCTAAGACCAAAACTGCCATTGCAGTACGCGGGTTCTTCTTGGGATGAGCTGAAGCATATCAGACAAGCCATCGGGTTTTTGGTACCTTTCATTATTATTCTATAAACTTCAGACTCGGTCTCTCAGGGTAATACCAAAATTCATCACATCTTTGTATAAAAAAATGCAGGTCATACACCAAAAACCTAAAAAAACCTTGGACGAGATAAGTCATGATCTATGTCCGGTAAGTGCATTTAATTCTTTGATAGTAGAAATTAGAAAGTAAAGTGTAGAGTTAAGTGGGTAGTGGTCTAGTAGTAATTGGGTGTCTACAAGGTCAATAATTCATCTCCATTTGGGAGGGTGATTTGGTATTAACAACGGCTAGCCCCGAGCATTGGTAGACATTATGGGCCAAAGGCGCGAAACTTCTAAAGGTTTTTTTTTAAAAAACGAGTAAAAGTGTGTGGACAAGTTTGATGTCTGATGAAATTGGGTTGATTTTGCAGGTACTCAGTATACAGCAGCTATACCGAATAAGTACGATGTACTGGGACGATAAGTACGGAACTCATAGCGTATCACCAGACGTAAGTTGATTTTGTATTATCAACTGTGAGATTATCTATGATACAAGATAGCAAATTTAGTAAGTTTTGGTACTTTGTGGGTTTATAGGTGATAGCAAATATGAGGGTGCTAATGACAGAAGATTCAAATAATGCTGTTAGCAACTCTTTTTTATTGGATGATGATTCCAGGTACTCTTAGATGGGTTTGCTATTTAACTAGTTAGATGTCTACCAATTTTCATTTACTTAATTTATTCTCCATTTTTTCCTGATTTACCAAAGTTGACTTTTTATATAAACTATGGATTTTTCTTTCTTGGCAGCATTCCATTCTCAGTTGATGATCTTTCGAAATCAATGGAGAAGATTGAGATTGGAGATGTAGAACCACCACCTCTCATTCGAGAGAATTCTGGTTTTAGCTTTCTATTGCCATGTTCTGACTAAATAAAATCATACCTAGCTTATTTGCTTTATAGACATGAAGAAAAAAGACATATTTTATTCATTAAATTTTTGATTTACGTAGGCATATGTAACTACATCGCTAGAATGGTTCAATAATTTTACACCAACACTGCGTAGTTGTGGAGCTTTTAAATAGAGGTGCTAAAATAAGTTTAATTTTGATCATATCCGAGGAATACAAACTGTCTTAAGCTGGTCTAACCTGGTGGACTATTAGTCGGAGTCCGACCAGAAATCAAATCGTGTGAAAAATAAATATATGTTTGTTTGACTGAGCTGCTTCCGGTAGATCGGACTAAGAAACACATATTAAGAGTTAGGAAATACAAACCAAAAGAGATTGTTTCAAGGTTCAAAGAAATCATAACAGCAGTGCATTATGATTTATGAATAAAAGTTAAAAAAAAATGTAGGCGACAACCCAACCAAAACAGCAATCGACCACTTAGCTACAACAACAACAACAATCGTCAACCACGTCGAGATTTGGATTTGAGCATTGATAGTCTGATGTCTGAACGATGAGGTTTGTTAATACGTGAATATCGACAAGGGGTAAACCAGTACTTTAGATCGGTAAACTCGGTTTTATTAGATCGAATTGAGAGAATACAACTGAGTTCGGTTATCAAGTAAATAATAACGAATTAAGACTTTATGAAACTAAGAATCTAGCATAATGAGTTCTCCGTCTCTAAGTCTTCTCTAGAATATCATGTGTTCTCTGGTGTCGATTCATCTTCCTTTATATATATCCTCTGGGTCGGTCATCGAGTGCGTCTTCAGCGATATGGGACCGAGAGGACTTTCCTTTTCTCTCGGTCCTTTTCCTTTTCTCGTAGCAGTTTCCTTTTCCCATTGGGAAACTTTCCATTCTTGACCGAACTCGAGAAACTCCTCGGTTCCTTCGAGAAGCTTCTCGCCGACCTCGGCTTAATGGGCTGTATTCGGCCCAAGTTTTTACTCGGCCCAGTCTTCCCGGTACATTCCTTCGTGAACCGGGCTTACGTTACGCCGAATCTCGGTTTGTACCGGAGAAAACCGGGGTGCGGTTTTCACCTCCAACAGTTAGCCCCCCCTCAGTTCGACGAAAGGAGGTGATTTTTAGTCGAACTCATCTGATCCAAAGTAAATCACAAACTGAGATCGGTTAACTGCAATCGATTCGCATTCCCGGACATTTCGCACCCTGTCTTCAATGAGGCGCGTGAATTCCGGAATTTCGTGAAAATCGAGGAACCACGATTCCCACTGTTTATAAGGGAATTTCTCCTCCTCGCATTCATTATTCTCGCTCAAGCATATATAAGGTACGCTGCTCTCCCTTCTCTCTAGATTTTGTTTCTCTTTCTAGTTTTTATTTGTAGTTTTCTCTCATTTCTTCAACTTCCGCCGCCGCAAAACCTTCGATTTTTCCGATCAATCTTCAAATTTCCCGTTCGATCTTCGAATTCTCCGATCAATCTTCAATCTCTTCAGGTTGATCTTCAAACTGTTCTTCATTCTTCTTAGATCTCTTTTCGACTCTTTCCTTCCGAACTCAAAATGTCTTCTAGCTCTTCGATCAACTCCTCTTCTAACCAGATTTTACCGGAAGATCGTCGCGAGTCTTCCGAACCGAGCTCTTGCTCTTCAAATCCTCATTCAACGAGCTCATCCAACAAGGAGAGTAATCCCCCGCAATTGATCCGTAAAAACTCTAGATTGGTCGGCGCGAGCAGTAGCCGATCTCGACCGCGAGTTGAAGCTACCGAACAGCTGGCTACAGAGACTCGCGAAACGGGAGCTCGAACTGGGCCGAACGTCGACGGTATCGACCACGAGATCGAGGAGATCGAGGAACTTGAAGAGGAAAATCCTGAGGAAGACGCTACCGAAGCAGGAGTCGCCGAGGATAATCTTGAAGCAGTGAATCATGCTTCACCACCGCTTCCAAAGCGAAGGGTCTTTCGCCCCAACAACGTGCCATCTTCTTCCGTTACTCCGGGTGCTGTTCAGGCCGTGCTTGAAGAAAATGGGCTCCCGGACCAAATCGTTTTCATAATTCCAGAAGCTGGAGATCGGCCGTGGGACGTCCCCGAAGGCTTCCTCTGTGTCTACTTGACATATTTTACGCAGTGCGGGCTCTCGCTTCCTATCCCCTCTCGTCTTCTCGGATACTGCAATCGGCGTGGCGTAGCTCTCACACAGGTGATGCCGGCCTCGATAACGAACTATGTAGGGTTCGTTACCTTGTGCGATGAGCTCGGTGAAATCCCCTCTAGTCGATTGTTTGAGGATCTCTTCTCGGTCAACATCCACAAGTCTAAGGAGTGGTTCTTCGCAGCGAACGCCAAACCGAGGAAGAACATCGTCACTGGGGCTAAACCCAGTAAATTCAATGACTGGGAATCCCTGTACTTCTTCCTTGAGATGAACGATCTCACAGTCAGTAATTCTGACATCCCGACTCAATCGGAGTGGAAGATTCCGATCGGTAGATTTAGATGATCTTACACTTAGCTGTTTTTCTTATTAACTTTGTATCTTGCTAATACTCCTTTGATTAATCTTTGCAGGTCGTCATCTCCCGAGCATTATTCTCAACTCCGGACTCACATCTGAGTTCGAAGCAGCTTTCAGCGAAGCCGGTAAACGTCGTTGGCCTGAACTGTGGGAAGAGATTCTTCAGCGCCGAGGTAAGAAAGCAGGTTCGACTATTGAGTTCAGTTTTATTTATTTTATTCTGAGTTTATTCTGAACTCCTCCTTGACATATTTCCATTATAGCTTCTGTTCGAGAACCGAAACCGCGGAAACCAAAGGCTCGAGCTAACAAGCCCCGAGCCGCTCCAAGACGAAAGGCGCCTAAATCGCGAGCCCAACAAACCCAAACTGCCAGGATGCTCTCACTGGACGAGATCGCAACCCTATTTGATGAAGAGGAGCCGAACGTCGCAGATCCGACTCCTATCCCTGCCAACGAAGGGACCAACGAGCAGCCTGATGAACTGCCGCCTGTTGCGAACTCCCCTGACCTAGCTGGTCAGAAGAAGCTGAAGAAGAAGAAGTCTTCAAAGAAGATTAAGAAGATTGAAGACTCTTCTCGGGCGCAGGACGCTCCCGCTGAGCTCGAGGCACCAACGGCTGTGGCGTCAGACCTCGCTCTTTCTCAAGATCGAGCTGAGGCTTCTCATTCTCGAAAGAGACAAGCTGGAGACCGCGCCGAGGGTTCTCCAGAACCAGAGCCAGCGAAGAGGGCGAAGGTCTGCTTCGACTATGATGAGGAGACTCCTTTCGAGGAGAACATCGATGCCTGCGCCGATCTCTACCATAAGATATCTTCTCAGGTCCCGAGTCTCCCGGCAGTGGCTGAGCTCCGTTTCCCTAATATGTACAAGGGGATCGCACGTACAACTGCCGTGGTAATTTCCTTGCTTCTTCTCTTGATTTTAATATTTTTCTAAGTATGAGTTCTAACTCTTGTTTCGCTTTGCGCAGCTCGCCAGTCAGACCAATAATTTGGTGGCGGCGTACGAAGTAGCTCTTTATGACGAGCAAGTTAGGGTTGCTGAGCTCGAGGAGAGGGTCTCCAAAGCGGAAGAGCGTCTTGCCACCGAGCTCCAAATCAATGACACTCTCCACTCTTCGGTTGATCTGCTAAAGCAAGAGAGTGCAGAGCTGAAGGCAGTGAGAAAAGAGCTGACCGAGGCCCAAAACATGCTCGCCCAAGAGTTCGAGAAAGATCAGGAGCGGCTGCGGGCCTTGGTGAACCACTGGAAGGGTCGAGCTAGGATCGTTCACGCACAAGGTTTCTATCGTTTAGAGAAGGTGATCCGCAGCTTGGACGACGCCGATCGAGCCCGCAAGCCCTACTTGGTGGTCAACCAGCTCACTAGAGTTCTCGGCTTCATTAAGCAACTGAAGAAGAAAGGTTTGTACGAGGTCCCGCCAGAGATGGTTGCCGACATCGAGGCGAAGCATGCTAAGGCGTTGGAAGACTTTCGTGCCATCGATGCTTGCGTTCTCACCGAGGAGGATAAGCGAATGTCTCCGTTCGCGGAAGAAGATGATGTTCCGGTGGCTGTGACCCAGAGCGCGCAAGATCCTGCGAGAGGCGAGCAGTTTGGTTCGAACGAGGATATGCTCAACGCCGATCGAGCTGCTACTTCAAATACTGCTTAGTCTTTCCTTTCTCTTCTTTTGACTCGAACTCATTTGCCCTTTCATGGGTTTATTTTGCTTGTAATACTTTATTTCCGAACCCTTGGTGGGTTCTTGAACTTATTTGCCTCTCGGGAGGCTTTTAATTATATGCTCGTTTCTTTTTTGCCTATTTTGATTACTTTAGAAAGAATCTTTCAAGTAATAGATCGGTATCTAATTTGAACTTTTACTTTATTTCGTCGGTAACGACTTGTGATAATATCTAAGTACTAGATCGGTACATAGTAGATGCTGTTTGAACATAATTTTATCTTTTGATAGCGAATTGCAATAATTCGGCTTACGTTTTGCGAGTGTTGCGAACTCGGCTTACGGTGCGAATCTGAGGAGTTCGGCTTATTGTGCGAGCATTTGAACTCGGCCTGAGGAACCCAAGTGAACTGTGTCATACTGGAAGAGTGAATTAATTCGAACTCCTGTTAACGCACGAAACGAGTTCAAGGTTTTTCTAAGTCGAACCTAAGTATGCGAGATGTGCTCGACTTATTGTTCTTGGTGACTTAGAAATTTAACTGCGGGACTGGCCCTGGCTTTTGATATGTGGTTTTACCACGGCACCATGTGGGTGCTTGCGAGACGGATCTCGGCTTTTTAAGTTTGCATTCATGTGGAATGCTATCGAACAACTGGCCAGGAAGTCGATGTAAGAACAAGGAGTTCGGTATCTTGTAATTTCCGAACTAGAACTTAGACGTTTATGACTTAATAAAATTTTATTGATGTTATAGCTGGACTCGGTAACGAGCTGCCTACGTACCCTTTAAAGGGATCAAGCCATTCGTAGTTCTAAGTACAAAAATGCTTTTTTGCTCCGACTAAGTAGTTCGAAGGCCCTTAGTATCGGGCCTAATAATTGTATCGGTTGAGATGCATTGAGTTCCAAGATCGCGGGATTGGAGTTCCGTCCAACTTTATCAGTTGATAAACGCCGGGTTTAACAACTTACATCACTTGGTATGGGCCTTCCCAGTTCGTGCCGAGTTTTCCTGCGTTCTTTTCTTCTGTGTTTTGATAGACCTTGCGAAGTACGAGATCACCATCTTCAAAGTGACGGCCTTTAACCTTCTTGTTATAGTAACGAGCTGCCAGTTGTTGGTAGTTTTGTATCCGGAGTAATGCTCGTTCGCGGTGTTCTTCGACTAAGTCGATTGTGTCGAGCATCATGCAGTTATTTGCGTCGGGTTGCTGGGTAAGCATGGTTCGGCGAATACTTGGGACATTGAGTTCGGCTAGGCACATAGCTTCTGTACCATATGCAAGGAAGAAAGGTGATTGACCGGTCAAACGTCGTGGTGTAGTTCGGTGAGACCAGAAGATACCATCAAGCTCGTCCGCCCAAGTTCCCTTAGTGGTATCGAGTCACTTCTTTAGACCTTCGATAATGGTTTTGTTCGTGGCTTCGGCTTACCCGTTTCCTTGCGGGTATCTCGGGTTAGAGAAACTTAGTCGGATTTTCCACTTGGCGCAAAAATCTGTGAAGATTATCGAAGTAAACTGGGTTCCGTTGTCCGTAACGATCTCGTACGGGACTCCGTGTCGGCAGATGATAAACTTCCAGACGAACTTCTTGACATCGATTCCATGAATCTCGGGGTATGCCTCGGCTTCGACCGATTTGGTGAAGTAGTCCGTGACGACCAGAACGTATTGCTTCTGAGTCGTAGATCGGCGAAAATAACCGATGATGTCCATTGCCCAGCGCATGAAAGGATATGGTGCGGTCGAGGTCATCAAGAGCTCGGTAGGAAGGTTGATCATTGGGCCGTGTCGTTGGCACTTCTCGCAGCGTGCTGTATACTTTTCGCAGTCAGACATCATAGTAGGCCAGTAGTAGCCAGCTTTTTTGATCTTGAACGCCAAAGACCGAGCTCCGGAGTGATTCCCTCCTTCTCCTTCATGAACTTTCTGCATTACTTCCATGATTTCGTTGCCATCTGAACACAAGTTAAGAGTACACCGGACGCATCCCATCTGAGGAGAGTGCCCTTAATGACCACATATCGAGCTGCTCGAGCGTTAAGGCGTCGAGCTGCCCATTTATCTGCGGGGACCGTTCCATCTCCAATGTAGCCCACAATTTCTAAGGTCCAATCTTCGGGCTCGTCTTCACCTTCGGCTTCGATATCGATTGGAATATGTTGGCCTTCGGACTCATCTCCGAGATCAGATCCGGTGTCATCTTGTTTGTCCGAGTTGGTGTTAAGATCGGTGACGACCTCTCTGGGTTTCGTCTTTCGGGTGAGAGGTGGAGCGAGATTGGGTTGGGCTTCGTAATCACGTCGTCGTGTAATGATGTTGCAGTTTGGAGCAGGCTCGATATTTGGTCGCTCGATTGCCGCGATTGGGATAGTTCACCGAAGATCGGGATCAGAATTAGTCACGAGAGCGGCTAAGACATCGGCGGTTGCATTCTCATCACGAGGTATCTTTGTAAGCTCGAAGGTTGAGAACTCCGAAGCAACATCCATAAGGACTTTGAGGTACGCGTCCATGCGGTCATTCTTGGCCTCGTATTCGCCGTGAAATTGGTTAGCCACAAGTTGAGAGTCGCAGTAGGCGTGTACGTGCTCGGCACCAATATTTTTGGCAAGTCGTAGTCCGGCAATCAATGCTTCGTATTCGGCTTCATTGTTGGACGCCGGGAAGCCAAGGCGGAATGATTGTTCGATAACCTCTCCTTCGGGAGATTTGAGACAAATCCCGACGCCGGATCCTTTATGGGATGAGGAGCCATCGGCGTGGAGAATCCAAGGTTGTATGACAGGATTAGCTTCGACGAGCTCAGTGGGAGTTCGACCAAGAAATCCGCCAGGACTTGAGACTTCGTTGCCGTTCTTCCTCGGTATTCGATGTCATACTCGCTAAGTTCAATGGCACACTTGGCGAGTCGTCCGGATTGACTTGGCTATGGAGGAAAGTGCGAAGAGGGTAGTCGGTTAGGACAACGATCGAGTGAAACTGGAAATACGGGCGTAACTTCCTCGCGGAAATAACCACGGCAAAGGCGAATTTCTCCAAGGTCGGGTAACGATACTCCGACCCATCAAGGGATTTACTTGTGTAGAAAATTGGCTTCTGCTCGCCACAATCTTCTCGAACAAGAACACTGCTGACCGCGAACTCCGAAATTGCGATGTAGAGATAAAGTGTCTCGCCGGTTTTGGGTTTGAATAAGACTGGCGGCGTAGACAAGTATTTCTTTAGTTCAGCAAAAGCTTCTTCGCACTTCTCATTCCACTCGAGATGTTTGTTACCGCGAAGAAGTTGGTAGAAAGGTAAGCACTTGTCTGTCGATCTGGATATAAATCGATTCAATGCTGCAATACGTCCGGTGAGTCGCTGAACTTCGCGTTTGGTTGTCGGACGCTCTCACTGGATTAGCTTCAATGCCTCGCCGTGTGACTATATATCCGAGGAACTCTCCTGATGTTACACCGAATGTACACTTAGTGGGATTAAGCTTCATGTCATACTGGTCCAAAATATCGAAGCATGTGCGAAGATGACCGACGTGATCGGAAGCGACGAGCGAGTTCACGAGCATATCGTCAATGTAAACTTCCATAGTTCGCTCGAGCTGGCTTGCGAACATCCGGTTCACCAGTCGTTGGTATGTTGCTCTAGCATTCTTCAGGCCAAAAGGCATGACCTTATAGCAGTATATGCCGCGGTCCGTGATGAACGATGTCTTTTCCCGATCTTGCGGATGCATAAGAATCTGATTGTATCCGGAGAATGCGTCCATAAACGAGAATAGTTCGTTCCCGGCAGTTGCTTCCACGAGGCGGTTGATATGAGGCAAAGGAAAGCTATCTTTCGGACATGCCTTATTGAGATCGGTAAAGTCGACGCAAATCCTCCATTTGCCGTTCTTTTTCTTAACGACTACGGGATTTGCTAACCAATCAGGATATTTGACCTCAGTAATAGATCCTGCTTTAAGCAACCGCTCGACCTCGTCATTGATGGCTTGTGCCTTCTCTGGTCCGAGCTTTCGGCGTTTCTGTTTGATCGGTTTGTATGTTGGATCGATGTTAAGCTCGTGACACACGATCTGTGGGTCAATCCCGGGCACATATTCTACCGACCATGCGAAGGTTGACGAATGATGTTTCAGAAAGTGGATGAGTGGTTCGCGGATGTGTGGGTCGAGTTCGGCGCCGATTCCGACTTGACGCTCTGGCCTCAGTTCGTCGATGCAAACTTGAACGATCGATTCGTGCTTAGGTTTTGTCTGCTGGACAACGAGCTCGTTCGTCGGTCCTAACGAACTGATGACACAAGCTTGGTTGGCCGAATGAAGTTTGCATTCGTTTATGTAGCATGATCGATCGACGACTTGGTTTCCTCGGAGAGTGTAGACACCGTCGGGAGTCGGGAACTTCAGGCATTGATGGTATGTCGAGGCGACCGCCTTCATCGCGTGTAACCAAGGCGTACCGAGAATAGCGTTGTAGATCGCCGGTTTGTCGAGGATGAGGAACAGGATAATTTTGGCGACTCCACCGAGGTAGATCGGGATGTTGACCATGCCGACCGTCATGCAGCGTTCTCCATCGAAACCTGTAAGTGGCTAGATAAAAGGCTCAATCCTATCTGATGATAAATCGAGCTGATCCAGTGCTTCCTTGAAGATAATGTTAACCGAACTGCCTGTATCGACCAAAATGCGGCTAACTTCGACGTCATCGAGAAGTAGTTCGACGACGAGGGCATCGTTATGTGGTTTATGCAACCCGATTGTGTCGGCCTCGGTAAATACCAAAGGCGTTCCCTTCGGCGGTTTGTGCGGGACTTTGGGCGCGCTGGCGGCCTGTCTACTATATTCTTTGATAGCGCAAACCAAGTAGCTGCAAGCCTCGATGGCTCCCATTATCATGTTGACGCGTTTTCTTGCTTTGGGAGCGTGGTTCTCTTGTGTTTGGTCGTCGCGATTACGTTTCTGTTGCTCGGGTAAAGCAGGCGGATTCGGCGGCGGTGGTGGCAATGCCGCTAAAGCTGGTAACGTCGGTAAAGTTGGTGGAGTTGGTGGATCCTTAGTGAGGGCGTTCTCGAGCTGTACGTTATTTGGTCGAGGCATGTTTGAACGGCGGAGATCGTCAATCGAGGTTTGCCCACTGTTTCTAGGCGTGTTCAAGCGATGGAGATCGTCGACCGAGATTGGCCCCTTTCGGTATTGGCCGAGTAGGTATTCTCGCAGGTATCTGCATTCTTCGGTGCTATGTCCTCTACGCTTATGGAATTCGCAGAACAAGGACTCGTCCTGATCTTCTTCACCGCGGACCCATTTATTGTTCCACTGTTTGGTCGGTTGTTGGATTGCATTAGCGTAGAACTTCTTACGATTCTCGTACCCTCGGCCGTATCCCGACTGTGACTCGTTGGTTGTTGTTTTCGAACGTTCAGGTTGCTTCGTCGAATAACTTTGCTCATAAGCGGCTTCCTCTTCTTCTTCAGCGATGTAAGTATTAGCTCGATGTAGTGCGTCTTCTAACGTCTGTGGAGGGTTATGCGTGATCGTGCTTCGGAAGCTAGTCTTTATCCGAGCTCCTTTCTGAAGGCATAGGAGGGCGGCCTCATCGCTGATCGTACAATTAGCGACAATCGTCTTAAAGCGCTGGATGAAATCGCGAAGGCTCTCGCTCGGTCCTTGGGCTATTTGCCAGAGCTCGGAATTCTTGGTGTTTTGTCCGATGAACATGGAGAAGTGTTTGACGAAGGCCGTCGTCAACTCCTTGTAGTTATCGATTGAGTTCGCCTCGAGTCGTGAGAACCAATCGAGAGCCACTCCTCCCAGACTCTCCGCAAATAGTTGGCACTGAACTGCATCTCTCTCATCGGCGGATTTGAACTAGTATCGATTCATGCAGATGCCGAACGATGTCAAAAACTGTCGGGGAACAGTATTGCCTTCATAGATGTTTATCTTCAGTTTCTCCATGTGTTTGACCGGCGTTCCTGCTATGTGCGGTGTGAAGGGTGTCTTTTGTGTTTCCTGAATGACGCGCTCGATCTCCGGAGCTGCGCTTGTTGCTTGATGTATCTTTGAAGTGATCTCGCGAAGTTGCGCCTTCATTGCTTCAAACTCGACGTCTCGGCTCAAATCCGATGTTGGTGCATTTGCTGATCCGACTGCGGTAGACCTCATAGTTCCGGCTGGGTCTCCGTCAGTATTGAGGTCGTCGATAATGTTCCGAACTCGAAGGAGAGTTCGTGCTTGACTGAGTTCGGCGATTTGGGCTGCCATCTGGCTGAAACGTTCCTCGCTCCTTTTGTTAATGGCCTCAAATTGGGCGTTGAACACTTGGAGCAGCAATTCGGTTCCATAACCTCCTACGGCTGCGGGGGTTTGGCCGGCTACAGTTCCAGTGTTTTCCCCAGGAGTTCCTCCTCCCTGTTCTGCTGGGGCGTTAGCGTTCTCTCCACCGAGAGGGTTTCCTTCTTCGTGAATGTTGGTTTGATCCGTCATCGCTGATTCGATCTATCCGAAGTCCGATTTAAGACTGAAAATTCTGTTTAGCCCCCTTACCTGGCGCGCCAATTGTTGATATGTGAATATCGACAAGGGGTAAAATAGTACTTTAGATCGGTAAACTCGATTTTATTAGATCGAATCGAGAGAATACAACTGAGTTCGGGTATCAAGTAAATAATAACGAACTAAGACTTTATGAAACTAAGAATCTAGCGTAATGAGTTCTCCGTCTCTAAGTCTTCTCTGGAATATCCTATGTTCTCTGGTGTCGATTCATCTTCCTTTATATATATCCTCTGGGTCGGTCATCGAGTGCGTCTTCAGCGATATGGGACCGAGAGGACTTTCCTTTTCTCTCGGTCCTTTTCCTTTTCTCATAGCAGTTTCCTTTTTCCATTGGGAAACTTTCCATTCTTGACCGAACTCGAGAAACTCCTCGGTTCCTTCGAGAAGCTTCTCACCGACCTCGGCTTAATGGGCTGTATTCGGTCCAAGTCTTTACTCGGCCCAGTCTTCCCAGTACATTCTTTCATGAACTGGGCTTACGTTACGCCGATCTCGGTTTGTACCGGAGAAAACCGGGGTGCGGTTTTCACCTTCAACAAGGTTGACGGAAGCTTGTAGTGTATCGAACTTAGCACTGAGTGGGTTACTTTGCAGTTTTTTTTTTTTTTTTTTTTTTTACAGATAAATCTAAAAAATGTCTTACGTATATGCGTTTAGATACAAAAGTTCTTCCTATTTTTTGATGACTACATTAACGTGTTAAATATTTGTTATCCAAAGGTTTTAAAAAAAATAAAATAAAATAGAGAGATATTGTTGAAAACATTGGAATATTGCCAAGTCATCATCCTAACTAAACCAATATAGCATACCGAATACTTTCTTGCTTTGTCTTTATCGAATTTAATACTAGAGGATTACCTTAACTGTTGAACAACCTGTTGTTCCTTCTGTCTCTGATTAAGTCAATGTTATAGGTGAGGAAGGTAAGATGCTGGTAAGCATGGAAACTAGGGAACTTCACAACACAACAATTTGAATATAAAATAGAGAATATACATGATGTTGGTACCTTAGTATTTACTTAATATACAAAGTTGTATAACAATGGGAGATAATCAACAGAGAGTTTATCCGGTTCTTCAAATGGAAGCCAACAAAACGAAAACATCACCAGCTCGTGGAAAGACAGGACACCTTCCAATACAGCAGCCAATTCCGCCTCCTATGATGGCCAACAATACAGAAACATCACTAGCTCGCGGCAAGACAGAGCAGCTTCCTATACAACGACCAATTTTGCCTCCTCTAATGGTGCGTAATAAGAAGCAAAATCTATGCTGTAAATGCTTCTGTTGGGCCCTAAGCCTTCTAATCACTGCCTTTATCGCATTAGCAGTTGCAATTGCAGTTATATACTTTGTTTTCCACCCTAAACTCCCACAGTACGAGGTCAACAGTTTACGCGTTACCAACCTTGGAATCAATCTAGACCTCTCTCTCTCCGCGTTATTCAAAGTCGAGATCACAGCTCGTAATCCCAACAAAAAAATCGGGATTTACTACAAGAACGGAGGCCGTATCGGTGTGTGGTACACCAAGATAAAGCTATGTGAAGGTCCCATACCAAAATTTTATCATGGACATCACAATGTGACTAAGCTAAATGTGGATCTAACTGGAAGAGCACAATACGGAAACAGTATCTTGTCTGCATTGCAACAGCAGCAACAAACAGGACATGTCCCGTTAGATCTCAAAGTGGATGCACCTGTTGCCATCAAACTAGGGAATTTGAAGCTAAAGAAGATTCAGATATTGGGAAAATGCAAGCTTGTTGTTGATAGTTTATCAACAAACAATAGAATAAATATCAAAGCAAGTGATTGCAGTTTTAAGCTTAAACTTTGAGATTTCTCAATTTATAAGCTTTAAACGTTTCTTGTGTATCCATCATTTTAATATGCATTGATTTCTTTGTTTTACTTTTATCTGTCAACATTTTGTAAGAAATAAATTCTTCTCTATAATATGGTCTTATATTCATCCATTTTCTATTGGAATAATGTTATTATTAAATGTAATTAGTGTTCAAATATATTGGAAATAAAAGAGTAATTCCTAAATATCTCTACTTTGATGGATGGTTAAGATTAAATCTATGAAAACTCTAATGAGGAATAAGGTCCTCTCTCCAACCTATAAATACTTGCCATTAGACCATCATATATGCAAGACTTAAAAAAAAGAACAACACCTAAAAGTTCTAGGCAAGGGGAGAGAAATCTAATCACCTAGCTTAAGCATTTCATCTTCCATCCAGGAGTTCATGAAGATCATTTTCTCTTTGCAACTTTGAATGCAAGTAATTCTATAAACCTTCTTATAAATCTATTATGTGATCATCTAGTTGTTTAAAGATCTTGGGGTTCATGTAAATTTTTCACTTACACATTTTGTATGCATTGATTATGTTTTTGAATTTCTGGTTTTAAGGCTAATAAGATTAAACGAGTTATAAATTCTAAGAGTGCGATCACATCACATATATGATAATTTTTTTACAAAACAAGGAAAAAGATGAACATAATATTGTATAAAATATCCAACATAAAACACGGGTATGGAAAGTATGCATACATGGCCCCGATCTACAAAAACTCCATGAGAAGAAAAAAGTGTTCATCTCCTAAGAAAAAACCTGGTAAGATGATAAGAGAAATAGTTGATTTTATTTCACTTATCAAAAGGATTACAAGATTTATCAAGTCTGAGACTCTCCGATATTGATCAACCTAAATCAGATAACGAGAACAAGCTCTCGATATCCGCCAAATCGCCAAGAACAAACTTAGCAATTTCCAGAAATGAACGAACAACAAATTCGATACCTACAACAGAAATAACCAACAAAGCTATATACTAATTCTTTACCGTTTCGTTGACTGTTGACAGCTTATCCACGTCAGCTTCTCTTATTCTCTTCTTCAGAACTAACCCGACTCGTCAACAATCTGGTCTTGTTTCTTCATTTCAGTCTTCTTTATTTCTCTGCTTAATATCTACTCTTAGAGGCCTATCAATACCTGCCTCGCTAAGACGAAGCTTGTCCTCAAGCTTCAAATGTGGGAATTGATGAATCAAATCCAAAGCTTTCTCCCAAGAAGTCTCATGCGATGGTAAACCAGTCCACCTGATTAAAGCCTATAAAGGACCATTTGCATCATAACAAATGTCCAATATATCAGCGGGTTCCACCACTTCATCATTCGTTGACAATGTCTCAGGCAAATCTGAAAATGATTTTGACCCATAACAGGTTTAAGCTGTGAGATATGAAATACATCATGGATTTTGGAGTCCACTGGAAAGTCTTAGACGGTAAGCAACAGCTCCCACACGCGCCAATACTTCAAATGGGCCATAATAACGTGCAGCCAGCTTCTGACATACATGGCGAGACACAGTCTGTTGTCTATACGGTCAAAGCTTCAAGAAGACCCTATCCCCCACGTTAAATTCCAGCTCCTTCCGATGTTTATCTGCATTTTTCTTCATTCGAGCCTGAGCTAACTCCAAATGAGCCTTGATCTGACTTAACATGGAATCTCTCTCTCGAAGCATGCGTTCTAATTCAAAATTAGATGTTGAACCATGCTCAAACTTGAGTAAGCTCGGAGGTGGTCTGCCATAGACGATTTGAAAAGGAGTAGTTACTAAGGCTGTATGATGATTGGTGTTGTGCCAAAGCTCAACCCATGAAAAGTATGATGCCCAACTCTTTGGATGCGTGGAAGCAAAACGACGCAAGAATGTTTCCAAACAACGGTTTAAAACCTCTGTTTGTCCGTCTGATTGCGGATGATATGCCTTACTGAACTTAAGCTGTGTTCCTGCTTGTTTGAATAGCTCCCTCCAGAATGAACTCAAAAACACATTGTCTCTATCAGATACGATGGTTGCAAGAAAGCCATGGAGTCTTACTATCTCCTTGATGAACTTCAAAGATACATCCTTGGCCGTAAATGGATGCTTTAACCCAACAAAGTGGGCAAATTTACTTAGCCTATCGACAACCACCATAATGACATTAAAGTTCTGAGACAAAGCCCTCTATAAAATCCATGGAAATATCTTCCCAAATGGATTTTGGAATCGAAAGAGGTTGTAAGAGACCGATTGGGGATAAAGGTGAGTATTTGTTCTTTTGACACACATATTTCTAGATATTTGCAGTCATCTTTCTCCAATAAAAAACTTGTTGAATCCGTCTTGTTGTTTTCAAAACCCTTGAATGGCTGTCAATGACCTCATCATGATATGTCTGTAATATCAAGGGAATATGTGTAGATTTTCTCGGTATCATTAACCGGCCTCGATACAGTAGTTTTCCCTCAATTACAGTATACTCCTGATTTTCTTCCGGAGATGTCAAGGCTTGAGTTTTCAAAGCTTGAATGTCTTCATCGTTTTCAATTTCGTTTAACAAATCATGTAGTTGAATGCAAGAAGGAACTGTCAAAGCTAAAAGTTGAGTTGGATGTGCAATTGTTGTCTCTGTTACTATCTAAGATAGAACATCAGCAACCTTGTTTTTCACTCCTGGTTTATACACGATTTCAAAATCATAACCCAACAGCTTCGTTAAGCATCTTTGGTAGTCCATTGATACATCTCTTTGATCAAGAAGAAACTTCAAACTTTTCTTATCCGTATGAACCAAAAACTTCCTGCCAATCAAATAATGTTGCCATTTCTGAATTGCCAACACTATAGCCATCAGTTCTCGTTTGTAAATCAGTTTGATCTGTTCCCGTTCTGTTAAGCCATAGCTAAAATAAGCTATTGGTTTTTGACTTTGTGTAAGAACAGCACCTACGCCATACCCAGATGCATCTGATTCAACTACAAACACCTCATTAAAATTTGGTAATGCTAGGATTGGTGTTTTCATCATTGACTCTTTCAACTGATCAAAAGTTGTTTGAGCTTTGGAACTCTATTCAAACTGATCCTTTTTTAGAAGCTCTGTTAAAGGTCTCGTTATAACACTGTATCCGTTCACAAATCTTCTATAATAGCCGCTAAGACCTAAAAACCCACATAGTTCTTTTACTGTCTTCGGTATTGGCCAGTTCTTCATTGCCACAGTCTTCTCTGAATCTGTTGCTACCCCTTGTGCTGATATTACATGATCCAAATATTCATCCTTGTCTTGACCGAACAAATACTTCTTTTTGTTTGCAAATAACTGTTGTTCCATGAAGACGTCCAAGACAACTATCAAGTGTTTGATGTGATCTTCCATGATTGAACTGAATATTAGAATATGATCGAAAAAACCAACACAAATTGGCCCAAAAATGGTCGACATGAGTGCCTGGAATGTTGCTGGAGTATTATTGAGGTCAAAAGGCATGACCATGAACTCATAATGACCATTTGAAGATCTGAACGCAGTGATTTCAATGTCCATATCCTCCATGTGTATCTGATGATAACCTGATCTCAGATCTAATTTGAAAAACACTTTAGCTATGATAAAACCTGATCTCAGATCTAATTTGAAAAACACTTTAGCTCCATACAGCTCGTCGAGTAGCTGGTCAATCATCGGAATTGGGAAAATTGTCTGGGATTGTAATCTTGTTCAGTGCTCTATAGTCTATGCAAAACCTCCAACTTACATCTTTTTTTTACTAAGAGTACTGGACTTGAGTAAGGGCTCCTTGATGGTCTAATGATTCCATCAGATAACATCTTCTTCACCAACTTTTTCATATCTTCTTTATAGGTGTCTGGGTATCTATATGGTCTAACACTTATTGGACCAGCTCCTGATACTAAATTAATAGCATGTTCATGTCCATATTGATGGTCTAATGATTCCATCAGATAACATCTTCTACACCAACTTTTCCATATCTTCTTTAAAAGCGTCTGGGTATCTATATGGTCTAACACTTATTGGACCAGCTCCTGCTACTAAATTAATAGCATGTTCATGTCTTCTTAATGGTGGGAGCTGAGTTGGCTCTGCAAAAACTTTCAAGTACCTTTCCAATAAGTGCTCAAGTGGTTTTGGTATAATCTGCATCACTGGTTGTTCTGATTGAAACAACTCCATATCGAACCCAATTGAGTGAATATCCTTCATGGAAGGTTTATAGCAGTGTAGAGAGGGGTCCCCTTTGAGTGTCACAATCGCTCCTCTATGATTGAATGAAAACTCGTGGTTCTCCGAATCTGTTGCACACTTCCTGATAACACCGTATTTTGACCACTTTTATGGATCGTTTTGAAATACTTTTTCTATGTTTTTAATTGCTTTCAAGTACTTTTATCACGTTTTTCTAGTTCCAAGACTCTTTTCAGGTAACTTAGGGAAAAGCTTAACAAAATGGATAGAAAACCAGATTTCAGCTCATAGTCAAACCGTCAGAAGTTCACCCTTGATTGAAGGCCTTCTCACCGTCTGATCCAGCTCAAATTTGGAGACCTCAAAGATGGAAGTATCAGCTTTCCAGTGCACTTTACAGCTTGGCAATCCAACGGTTCAATCAAAAGATACGCGAAGAGCAAGATGTCCCGTAAACCAGCCGGCAAGCACTTCCACCCGCGGCCAAACACTCATTCCCCACGGTCATGAGCATCCCGACTGCGGCAAACCATTCATTCCCCACGGTCAGAGCCCTCCCGACCGCGGCCATCAACCTCCGAGCCCAAAAAGCCATTTCTGAAGCCCACATTTGGAGAAACCCTAAGTGACGTCCAGAGAGGTCTTGAGCACTATAAATACATGTCTTAGGAACCCTAAACGGGGAGAGAATATCATCATCATCTATCATTACTTCATATTTTTATTGTTTTTGCTTTAGGTTTTAGGGAGAGAGAGATTTGTTCTCTTGAAC